ATAAACTGCTTTGCAGAGAGAGGCAATCATGACCTGGGAAATTAAGTGGAGTAATTTACAAATAGGCTTTTGTCTGGCTGGAGATTTTAGCTTATTCACAGTTTGCCTTTAGGTTATCTTAGCAACACACGCTCCCTTTTCCACACCCTATCGGCAGTATGTATTTTGGGTGCCCAATATATGCTGAAAATGAAAACAACAACAATAACAACGACAACAAAACAGTTCCCATATGTTGCTTTCTCCTGGCCTGCATTACAAAGTCCTTCTGACCCTTTATTCTCAAAAACAAACACTAATCACTGTCATCGTTCTTCAAGACCCTTCATCTTTTCACCTCATCTTTCTACTGTCTATCCAACTACATGGGGCATACAAATATGTTATGAGTGAATGAACTCTGGGCCCATTTCCAGCCCTACTCCCTGAAACCAACCTTGACCCAAGTCAAAAGTGAGTTCACTCTTTTCTTGATTTCTTTACAACTCACAGTCTCTATAATTTGGCACTTTAGGAAATATATTCTTTTTTCCTTGTTTTAAAAAATATCTTGTTCTTCCTCCTCCCCACCTCAACTCCATTACAAGTTAAATGATGAATACAGTCTCCTAAGTCTGATGCGCTTGGATGATCCCCTAGTTCCGCCATTTACGAGTTGTGGCACCTGGCGCAGCTTGGGGATGATAAAAATAATTACTTCACAGGGTTGTTGGAAGAAAGAAAAGAGCTTATATGAAGCATAAAGCACATAATATGAGCTCATTAAATCTTGTTCAAAGATTAATTCATTGATTCTTCTCTAGACAAACCTTCCTCTTTGAGAGGAGGAAGAGAAAACTCTTTTTTTTTTTTAATAACCAACGATTCATTTCCCCAACTTACCCCCCCCACCAAACTCTTGACCCTTTAAACTATTGGAGATCCTGTGAACTTTACCTAATTTCAGTCTTGCAGCTTTATCAAATGTTCATTGGTTTCAGTTCATTCCTTTTAACAAACATTAGTTGAGCTCCTATTATGTGCCAGATATTGTGCTTAGTGAGATCAAGAAAATGTTAAATACAAAATCCCTGTCTTCAGATTAGTGAAATACTTTTTAAAGCCATGGATTCATATGGTACTCCTCCCTCCTTCCCCCATATACATATGCTCTCTTAAAAACTAAGCTTGGGAAAGGAGGGAAGAAAGTATCTATGGAGAGAACCCAGTGGATTATAGCTTTCTAGGTCACGTTCAACAGGCTAAACATCTAGGATACTGTTTGTGTAAGATACAAGCCATACCCTACATTTCATCCTCTGGCTATTGTGCTTATTTTTTATGTATAGTCACTATACCTTACCTGTTATCTTTTGAGCCTCTTTGCTCAAAATTTGGGGTTCAAAATTTTAACTCATAATTTCCAGTTTTCTGATTTTATATTTCCACATGAAATCCATTTGGTCATAAAACAGTTGATTCAAAAGCAATCATTAGCTAGCCTAACAACATTAATAGTCCACTACCAAGATTCCTGACCAATTTATTTTTTTAAAGGACAGAATATTCATGTAATTTTTAACTAGGTTAGAGCAGCTTATTTAGACTGAAAAGATGAGGGAAAAAAAACACACAAAAAGACTGCACTGATGCTGTCAAAGCCTCAGTAATTGTCCATCTCTCTCACTTGCAGTAACAAATAGCCAACAGATTATCACTGACTTTGGTAGATTCATAGAATTTGCAAGTTGATGGGGCGCCTGGGTGGCTCAGTTGGTTGAGCGACTGCCTTCGGCTCAGGTCATGATCCTGGAGTCCCTGGATCGAGTCCCGCATCGGGCTCCCTGCTCGGC